ACCTTCTATGCATGCACCGCTTCTCTCACCACTCCAGTATGTGTTACCTTGGTATCACCCTCCCAATCAATTACTTCTCAAGTTGGATGTGAAGATGTTGGTACTGCCCTGTCTCCGGAGGACTTATATGCGCAATACTTCGTGTAACAGAACCTTCTGTGACGCCACTGTCACCTGTAGTGCCTGCTCTCTGCAAAATCAGTCTCCTTCTGGGAATTCCTTTTTCCGTCATGTACTGCACTTGAACTTAACCACAGGGCTTCGTGTTCAATTACTGGCTTCTTATAGGTTACAGAGGCTAAAATCTTTTTTTGATTTTGCCTCCAGCCAGACTTGAACCGTTGACCTTGACTGTGGGGGCATGGGAACTTAACAATTAAGCTATGGGACCCACACCCAAATTTGACCTATTGTACTCAGTGTCGTAATAATTAGTTGCATACCTTTAATTAATAAAAGTTAACTATAAATTGTATGTAACAATTACATTATAAACTATTATTTTTAGTGAGCAATACATTTCAAAAAAGTCTTTTTATTAGTGTTAGCATTAGATATTGTAAACCTCTAATTAATTAGTAAAGCCTGGGTTTTGTTCTATACAGGTATAAGCTGACCTGATCAACTACCAAACAAATATTTCAAACCACTACCCACAGGCTATTAGCATTTGGTTGATCATAAGTACTAAGCAGTGCATGTATACAGTAAAGAGATTATTTCAAACACGAATCCAGAAATTATAGTAATGCAAACAAAAACTTGTAAGTTCTTATGCATTTAATCATCTAATTTTAACCTTGTAAGATTTAATTTTTAATACATTTAATAGGGCCATCAAAAATGAATTCTGCGAATAAACTTATATAAAATGCATAAAAACTTTAAAAACTTGGAATTGTTCAATAAAGTCAATATAGTTGCTTTCAGCAACTAAACAATTCCATGATTTCAATCAAACTATTACTTTAATAAATGTGTGCTGCTAAAAGAAAACCTGCAAATTTTTTAGATAATATTTGCAGATTTTCCTTTGTTGGCACTCAAAAATATGCATGAAGATTATTTTTGTTCATGGAAAAGATTATGCCTAAATAAATTTATTGATTAAATCAATAAGATGTTTGGAATGCAAGCCCTAAATGACTTCAATTACTACTTGACATTGTGCACATATAAGATAACTCCTAGTAGTAAATTATGGGTACATATTGCAAAATAGTTAGAGTTATTGGATTATTCGTAATAACAGTATTTCTGGTCGTCGGGTATTGGTGAAATTGAGCCATAGTATTAATCAGTTTTATAATTGTTAATATAAAGACCGGGTCAAATTGATAACAACTCTGAATAAAATGAATATTTTGTATAAAAGTTTGTAGAAGTGGATCATGTAAAATGTAAAATTTTTGTGATATTTTTTTAATTTGTATAGTTACATATACTATGATAATTTTATAATAGTACCTTCAGTACCCATGGATGGGTAGTAATACTATCCTAGCCCTACCCGTTTGTATAAGGGTCCAAATATTCAAATCCGGTCCTAACTCCGGATCCAAAAGTTAATACCCTAGCCCAGTTCTTGCAGGACTATCCATGGGTACCCGTGGGTAGCCCTACCCATTGCGGAGCTCTAGTTATATGAGCCATTGCTTTTACAAAACCTTTCTTAATCAATGGTAACAATTGCATAACATAAATTTTTGTTGGTATAAGTAATTCTTCACCAAGTGTGAGTTTTGAGTTCCACAGACAAGTTGATTCATATCCAAGGCTATATTTATCAATAATTTTTCGAATCAATGAAAAAAAAGCATTTGAATGAATGCCTGATGATGGAATACCGATAAGAATGTCTCCAACATTTATATCAGATTTACGTGAGAGTATAGTTCCACATTCTACTGCCCAATTGCAAATCCTGCTAAATCATAATCGCCTACACATTATGTTATTACATATATTATTGGGATTATTTCTAAACGCTATTGTAAACTCCAGGCATCTCAGACGTTTATCCACCGATCAACGCGCATTTTGATTATAAGCATCCAGTTGCAATACCTCTATTATGTCTTTTGCAACATCAACATTTAATTTACCGTACGCATAGTAATCAAGGAAAATAGGGGTCCAGCACCCTGTACAATTAAATCATTGACATTCATGGCGACATGATCGATACCTAGTTAATTAATAATATGGTAAATTGTTTAGTTCAAAAATGTTTTTTTTTTTTTAAAAAAATCCGAATTATTAAAAAAACCACGAACCAATAGTGTTATGGATGTTGGCAGCCTGTGCGATCTTCAATTTAGTTACTACACCATCGGTAGTAGCTACCAAAATAGGATCATTAAACTCTGCAGCT